CCCCAAAACCCCAAAACCCCAAAACCCCAAAACCCCAAAACCCCAAAACCCCAAAATAAAGCCAGATATTGAAATGTCTGGTATCCAATCGTTCTATTTTTATCTCCTTGAGCTCCTCTAAGTCTGATATTACTGAAGGAGAGTTTTTATACTCAGCTTGAGGAGCAGTCATCAGGAGAGTTGTCGGAGACAACTATCCCTGGACTTCTACTGGCTCACAGGCGATAGAACTCTCTTTTTCTAAATATCAAGCTATAGGCTTACAGGTGTAGCATAAGATTCATAATAAGTAGAGGAATTCAGCTTTGGTTTCCAACGAATTTTAGAAGTATGAAATTGTCCAAATTGGTGCCCAATTTGGAAAGCTTCTGATTTCTCGGTCTTTTGAGTAGGAGCCTTTCTCAAACTCTTGATGAATTCCTTCTTATATAATTTTACAGACTCATTTGTCAAAAATTTTAACCGAGTGGGTCTGAAAGAACCACTGGTTGATTTTTGGTAATTTTTGTCTGAAGAATTACAGGTAGTGTCTTCTATTACAGGTTTAATTATTATGGCTGAAGAATAAATAAGAATCTTGGCTGCTTTAGAGGGGTAAAATTTACCTGCTTTATTGTCTACTCCAATATTTCCCTGCTTCTTCTCCGTTAACAAGCAACTGTTGTTGTGACCAGATTGTGCTATTTAATAAATTTCCAACGTTACTATAAATGTGTAGAGAATTTTGGAGATTAGGGTAGTAAGAGTTGGTGGAGATTTTTCAGGAGAGACCTATAGGTAAAACCAAAATGTGTACCTCTTCTCGTGCTTCTTTTTGAGTTGTAAACGGTCGAGACACTGCTCCTATATCTGATCAGCTTTGCTCCATACACCATAAATTAGTATTGACATAGGATGATGAAAACTAGGCATTAGACATACCTTTTGCTGCTATTGAGCCTATTTGCAGCTATTTGTTCCATGAACTTCTCTTTAAGAGCTGCTATTGAGAACTACATCGGAAGTGTTATGATACTTAAGTAGAGGAGACAAGTAGCTTACCCTATTTTGCCTTGCTTTGGCAGTCTCTAGTGAGGAAGGATCAAATTTATGACTTCTACGCTTGGCCTTCCTTTTCTTTTGTTTCGTTGGGGAGCTAAGTACTTTATCAAAGCAGCTGTTGAGCATAAGTTTGTTATCTATAACTCCATGCTTTAGCCTAATCCCTTCCCTCCGCTGACTCTTTAGAAGAGATAACCTCTGTTGGTGTCTATTGTATTATGATTAACACTTACTTTATTTTTCTGTCATTAAAAAAGGGCCGAATAGAGCTGAACTTGCTACCTACTACTGCTTCAGTGAGGTGATTCCATCCGTTGTTTTGCAGCTCTTCGTAAACAATTGGGGGCCTAAAGTTTAGAGGTTAGTTTTATGTAATTTTGTAAAAGCTTGGAATATTTATCGTGCACACATTTTAAAGAGACTCATTACAATAGGTTACTTGAAGGTATTTTTAACAGAAGAAAGTTCTTACCATTCAAAGATATTTGGATCTTTGAACAGATTATTTAAATTGTATTTCATCATCTCTTTGATGTTGCTTTTGTCAAAATGAGTACTGTTTGTTGAAGACTAGAGTTATGAGATTGGACACAGTTACTGATTCCATAGTTTCCAAAATTTCTATCAATAATAAAACATTACAACGGGGTTTTGGGGTTTTGGGGTTTTGGGGTTTTGGGG